CTCACGTTCATCCTGACCTTAGGGTACTCAGTCTCACAGTATGGGTGCTGGGCATTTATCTGATAGTGATTATATTTAGAGAAATGGCTTCTTCCTGGTACCAGCAACTCTTCCACTAGTTGTATATTTTGTACGTGAACCAGAATCATAGTATGGTTTGAGTTGGAAGGGATCTTTAAAGATCATCTCGTTCCAACTCCCCTGCCATGGGCAGGGACACCCTCCACTAGACCAGGTTGCCCAAAGCCCCATCCAACCTGGCCTTGAACACTTCCAGGGAGGGAGCCTTCACAAGTTCTCTGGGTAATCTGTTCCAGTGCCTCATCACCCTCACAGTAAAGAACTTCTTTTTAACATCTAATCTAAATCAACCCTCCTTCAGCTTAAACCCATTTCCCCTTTGTCCTGTAACTCCATGCCCTTGTAAACAGTCCCTCTCCAGCTTTCTTGTAGGCCCCCTGTAAGTACTGGAAGGGTGCTCTAAGATCTCCCCGGAGTCTTCTCTTCTCCAGGCTGAACAATCCCAACTCTCTCAGCCTGTCCTCATAGGAGAGGTGCTCCAGCCCCCTGATCATCTTCGTGGCCCTCCTCTGGACTCACTCCAACATCTTTCTTGTGCTGCGGTCACCAGAGCGGGACACAGTACTCCAGGTGGGGTCTCAGGAAAGCGGAGTAGAGGGGGAGAATCACCTCCCTCAACCTGCTGCTCACACCTCTTTTGATGCAGCCCAGGACATGGTTGGCTTTCTGGGCTGCAAGTGCACATTGCCGGCTCACGTTGAGCTTCTCATCAACCAACGCCCCCCAAGTCCTCCTCCTCAGGACTGCTTTCAATCCATTTCTGTGTACTATCTTATTTCTTTGCTTTGTGGTACGTTTTGAAAATGAAGTAGTGGTGGTTTTCTCCCAGCAACCAGGTGAGCTTCACTGAGCAATCTCCACTCCTTTCCAGTGGATTGGGCTGCCTTGTTCTTCTGTGGCTGATCAGAGTTTGAGGATGTGAACAAATGTCTGTGTGTCTGTGACTCGTTACCTGACAGGATCCAAATCTCTTGTTCTCCATCTCCCTGAACTTATTTTATACTCTTTGTGGCAGGAAGCCTCTTGGGATCAGGGTCTTATGGAAGTTCTAGACTGTCTCTGAGTGTGAGAAAAATCCAAGGGCTTTCCTGTCAGTGACCAAATAAATTTTTGACCATGTATAGAGGGGTTATGGAACTGTTAGTGTGGAACTTGCGAGAGAGCTTAGATGCCTCTGTAACACTGTTGTGCATGTTTACTATTTTGGATCTAAACAATGTGGCCACCTAGTGTTTAAGCACCTTGCTGTTTTGGTACAACCAGTGACCATACAGTTTGGTCATGATGCCAGGTAATTTTAACTGCTGTGAGAATTGTTGACATGGACAAAGAATAAGAGGCTGCTGGCAGTAGCTGGTATTCTCCGAAATGTGAAGCTTTTGTGTGCTTTACTATGTTGCTTGCTCTTTCTGTCCCTTCTATCCCATGAATTTTTGAAGTAATGTTTGGAAAGAATTGAAAAGCAGTCAGGTGTGTGCTGTGCCATGTCACGTACCAAACGGAAGTGGACAAACTAGTTATCCTTTTGGGTCTGGCTGGGATGGAGTTAATTTTCTTTGTAGCAGCCTATATGGTACTGTACTGTATATTTGTGGCTAAAGCAGTGTTGAATAGGGTAAGACAAGAGCAGGAGGGTGAGAGGGGACACATGCTCAGCAATAAAAGCTCAGGGAAGGGAGTAGGAAGCAAGGGATGTCTGTGCTCATGGTGTTTGTTTTCCCAAGCAAGCACTATGCCTGCTTTCCAGGTACTGGTGGAATATCTGTCTGCCAATGGGAGGTAGTGAATTAATTATTTTTTGCTTTACTTGCGTGTGCAGCTTTTTCTTTATCTAATAAACTGTCATTGTCTTCATCTATGAGTCTCTTCACCTTCCTTCTATTTTCTTCCCTTCCCCTCTCTGTACAGAGAAGGAGAGTGAGAGACTGGGTGGGTGTTTGGCTTTTGGTCGGGGTAAACCCACCACATCTTTCTAGGTCTTGTAAAGAAAAAGCTCTTACCTTCTCATGTGGCAGAAAAAGAATACTGTTAAACTCTTAGCACTCTGAGAGCACTGTGTTAAATCATGGTTGCTTCTTACTGGTAACTATTTTTTTTTTGCCTAATTTTGGAAAGGAGTCTAGGGGATTAGCAGAATGTCCACTGAAATTCATTTAACTTAACCTCATCTTTGAGGGAAAGTCATAATGCGAAGACCAGGCACAAATGTGGTGGTGTGTTTAGAGATCTAGCATTGACACAGAAGCATTATTAGTGCAGGAGAGAACAGAGGTAGGAGTATATTGTTGTGCAGGTCAACTTGTAAAAGAAACTGATATTCCTTCGTTTGAATTTGATATTTGGATTTTAGAAATTTGTATTACTGAAAGTGAATACAATTTTAATGTTCAGGAGAATGAAAAGCTTATGACTAGAGTATTTAGGAAATAACGATTACAGGTTTTAGATCTTTATTTTGCTATCCTACTAAGTCAATATGACCTAATGAATAAAATCAATAAAAAGTTTACTTTTATTATTGTAGAGCTGCCTTTCTTCCTGGATAGGGTAATTAAGCATTTTTGGCAAGTTTCAGGTCACGTGTCCACTTCTACTCCCAAATCCCTCGTATCTTCAGTGCTGACTATTCTTTTGGACTTGGTAGTGATAACTGTTCAGCTGTTGTTAGTGACAGACCCTAGTACCTAGGCAGAAGATCAGCTGCCTGTGTGTTGGGAGCATGTATGAGAAACTGAAAATATCAGTGTTCAATGTCAATTTTGATTGATAAATCATTATGGAATACTATTAAGCATGAAGAGCTCTGGATCATAGCTAAGAAACGAGGTGAAGGATGTGACTCTTCAAGTCTCATAGAATATCTCTTCAATGTCTCATAGCATGGAGGTGATGAAGATTTTTTTCAGAGTTTGAGATTAAAGTAGAATAAAGGAGAGAGACTGTAGCAGTGATGCATTCATTTAATAAGAAGTACAGGTTGATTTTTATTACCTTTAGGAGCTTTATATAAGAACGTTTCAAGGGGGCCAATATCTGGGCACAAATTTTAAAAGTACCAAATACTCTTGGTCCATAATCACAAATATTCATTGTTTTTACAAACAGGACTGGAAACATGAGTGGGTTGTCTTTATAATTGGATTGGTGGCTAATACAGTGAAAGCTTCTTCTGTGGCTAATTCATTAAGGATATTTCAGTTGGTTTTTATGTCTCTAGGTTGTTCCCACCCCCCCCCGCCTTTCTCTATATTTCTGTCTGTGTAACTTAAGTAGTGGAATGTTTAGTGTACTCCCCACCCTCTTGGGCGTGTTGCTCTGGATCCATGTTGGAGAAATTCAGAGATGCTTAATATTTTTAATATTTTGTTGGTTTAAGCAGGAGTGGATGGAATGTGGGTAATGGAGATTGAACTAACACAGGCTAAAAAAAAAATTTAAAGTTCTTAACCGTGAAGGCACAGAATAAGAATTTGTAGTGTAATGGACACTACAAGCTGAAACTCATGAAGGTAAAAAAAGACATCATTTATTGCAGATTAAGAGGAGGAGGTTGTAGGTGGCTTTCAGTAATGTCAATCCAAAGTTTAATTGAAAAAATTAGTCAAATGTATTAGACTAATGTATTAATGGATTTACTATTAATGCTGCTAATACTTAATGCTAAAGTGTATTTGGAAGAATTATAGCCTTTTGTAATGTAGTAATATATCAGTGTTAGAGATTTCTTCATCCTTAACTTCTCTTGCTCTGTTACTTTAAGGATTTTACAAATGCTTTTACTGTTCTTAGGGAGCTGAATTAAAAGGACATACTAGCAAACTTATCAGCCCATTTATGGTATCGAGTCAGGAGAAATAGTTGGTCTTTAAGACTGTGTTGTTGTATTAGAGAGCTCTGATGGATTGTGCTCTTATTTCTTGTTCATGTTCAAAAGGTGGTGTTAAACTAATAAGAATGTCAAAGATGGTAGAAAAAAAATAGTATTTTAAACAGTCCTTGTCTTTATTACCAGAATAAAAAGACTGAAATAATAAGGAAGTGAATAATATCTAGTTAATATCAACTAATTTTAGCTACTCCCTTTTCAAAGAAGTGTTGCAGCCAGTTGTTCTTTTCGGTTTTTTTCTTTAATAAGCAAAAGAAAAAAATTGGTGAATAGTAAGTACATGCTAATTGCACAAATGTTAGCACACGTTTCCAAAATACGTATTAAACTTCCAGTGCTGTGTGTTGTATTAAACAAATGTAACGCAAACCAATGATAATGAAAATATACTGGAGAAGGCCTTGTTTTATCTCTTTTAGTGCTAATTTTAAGTATGAAAGATAAGTATCTGTTGAACTCAGCATTTTTAAATATAGGCTTAAATACAGGCTTTACAAGACCAGATTCTGTGCATCTCAGACCTTGGGTGCTTAATCTGATGTTCTCTAAAAACTCGTTGCCTGAAAACTTTTTTCTTTTTAACTAAATATTTGTTATTAAACACTGTTCCAGAGAACTGTAAGCCTTTATGTGCCGATAAACATAGAATGAGTTTTGTGGGTTTTGTGTTGTGCTTGAATTTGTGTAAGCTTTTACAGGCACATATTGGATTTCCTAACAGGATCAGTAACCTGTAAAAGAGGGTTCAAAAGATGTATGTTCACATTAGGTTTTGTTTCTCCATTGTTTTGTTTTCACTGCCTTTATTATTTTGTCTTCTCCCAATAATAGTGAAGGGTTTTTTTGTCTTGAGATATATATTTGTATTCAAGAAAAGTCTATTAATCAGTATTATGTTATTTCTGGAGGTGTATAAGTCTATTGGTGTAAAAGATGTACAAAACAGAACTCTGGGGTTGGTTTTTTTTGTTTTTGTGGGGTTTTGGGGTTTTTTCCCCAATTTTTTTTAAAAAAAAATGTGTTCATTTTCCAGAGCAATGACAACGAAGAACGCCTGCAGGTTGTAAAACTTCTAGCAAAAATGTTTGGGGCGAAGGATTCGGAGTTGGCATCTCAAAACAAACCACTTTGGCAGTGCTACCTGGGGAGGTATATGCTTGTTTAGTTCCCTTCCAAGGAGGAGAAAAACATTCAATCAAGTATAATTCAAGTCTGACTGACAATGCTATAGAGATAATTTTACATACGTCTTCTGCATCTATGATTCTGCAGAGTGAACAATTAAAAATCATCCCTTTTTAGTTCATTTTTTTGCAACTGTCTTTATTGCCATTGTCAAGAAAAAAGAACAGTTTATGTTAATTTTTTTACAAGTGAAACTAATTGGTGATGGATTAATTCTAAAACACCATCTAATGACAGTTGCAGTATCAGGTGATATTAGAACTGGTGTTGAGGCTTTTATGTACAGTATTTGTATACTAGTTTCAATTTTTTAATGGTAGGAGTACCATAGAAGAGATATGTAGTGTATACAATGCTGCAAACACACCTGGTCTTTTGTTTTTGAAATATTCTGCCAGTTTGAGATAGAAAATATAGCTGAAGCTTGTAGTCAGGGTGAACTTAAGTATGGCTACTGTGATTAAAATGTTTTTCAGTAAATGAGGATAAATTCTATAAATTATTACAAATGCAGTAGTTTACAACTTTGCATTCAATCGTATCAAAACCATGGTCCTCAATGAAATGCTACTTTTAAAAGTACAGAAAACTTAATTGAGGGAATTTTTGCTAGAAAGTATATAACTATTTAAAACATTGCATGTCATCAAAAAATACCACATCTAATTGAGCCCAAAGGAAAATGCTTCATTGTGTTATAACGTGAAGCAATGTGAATTTGTGCAATCTGTGTGTAATTACTGTTTTCAACTGCTTATGAATCACATGCATGTATTACTTTTTTCAAGTTATTTTTATTATTTTAACTAAGTTATAATAGCTGTGTTTTTAAAGGAACAATTCTTAAAATGTCCTGATTTTGAAAACATACCTGATATTACTAAAACAGTTATTCCTTACAACCTCTTTATTTGATAAATAAGCGTTTCAACAGCAATAATGTTCTAAAATCTGATTTTTTAATTTGTTTAAAAACAAGCATTTTGAGGATAGCTTGAAAATGCTTTTATTTTTTTTCAAGAGGTGTGTGTAACACTCATTAAACACAAAGAAATACTAGTTTTTCAGCATCAAACCTAATTCAGTCTTTCAAAAGGAAGTCTTACAGAAGTTTAAGTGATTCATTTTAGAAGAAATTTGCACTAGGCTAGATGCCCATTGGTCTGTTGTCTATCATACAGTTTAAAGAGGGCATGAATATCAGAGTCTTATAAAACTTTTAGTTGCTGATACATTGTTCATGGTTAAATATGTGGAGCGTTACAGAAAAGGCACTTAAAATGTCACACATCTTTCTCATATAATTGTCTGCCTGGGAGTTTTTCGTGTGTACTAGGAGAGGATATTTCTTTTCATGTTCAGAACATGAATTAATAAATGAGTGCAGGATTTTTTTTTTTAAGGTGAAGACAGTCTACGTAATACTGTGAAATTAGAGATGGTTTATGCGTGTAACTGCATGGGAAGCATAAAAATATTTTGAAAGGTAGTTGAGATTGTGTAGAAATAAATTGCTTTGGTAGAAGTGATACTTTTGTTGTTGTAATGCATTGTCTTGTTTCCAAATAGGTTTAATGATATCCATGTACCTATTCGTCTTGAGTGTGTAAAGTTTGCAAGTCACTGCCTTATGAACCATCCCGACCTAGCAAAAGACTTAACAGGTACCACATTTATTATAACATTAAAATACCATTTTAAGTCTCCTGGAGAAGTCAGGAAGGTTAGTTGTAACGCTGAGTAACATTGTCAGAGGCTGTGTATGATGTAATTGAAGTTGGAGTGTGAAGTTAAAGTCCCTGCCTTCAGTGCTGCCTCTCAGGCTGAGGGGATTGTACATAAAGAATGCCTTAACTGAAGACATAACTTCTTGTACAGTAGTTGTGTTCCCAACTGCTGTTGAAATTAAGCACCATAGGATCAGGCAAAGACAGCCTGGCTAACCTAATGGTCATAGCATTTATTAATTAGGTTGCAGAGTGGAGACTTCAGTTCCACAAAGCTAAAATCTGTGAATATTATGTGGCCACTGTCTAAAACATGAAAACAGTCCTCATATCTGTGACCACAGTTCCTGCTCCTTCAGCTCAAACGCTGCCTGTAATTCAAGACCTCTGTAGGAAGAAGGCAACTGGCATAAATAGAAATGTTTTGTATTTGTTGCTTCTGATGTCATAATGAAAAAGTGGAATTAAAAAGAATGGGTTGGTTTGTTGGTTTTTGGGGGTTTTGTTGTTTTTTGTTTTGTTTTTTTTTTAATTCCCCACCCCAAAGTGTATATGGAGACTGTATTTTCCCCTGATCAATAAACTCCTACTTCTTGTAATTCTTTGGAGGTAATATCTTTGTCCATTTGCTCTAAGGAGGGAATTTAAAGGGCTGTTAAGCGCATGGGAATGCTCTCCTGCTTGCTGAGCGTTTGTCAAGTTAGACACAAGTACAGGCAAGCTAGAGTCATCCCACAGTTAGTGGTATCGTTAAGCCAGCTTAAAAGAAAAATAAAATAAATGTTTCTGGACATTTCCTTAAAGGAATGGTAGAGATGTTTCCTCTTTGATTATCAGAATTGTATTTTCAAGGGTGGATTTTTTTTTTCTTTTTTACATTGCAGGAAGACTTTGTGCCCCCTCTAATGGTATCCTCTGGGAAATGTAATTTTGCTTGCCCCTCCTTTCTCTCCCCACAGTGCTTATCAAAGTCAAATTGTTGAAAAATTTCTCTGACTCACTGGTGTTTGAGAACAGAACTGTTTTGTGCAATGGCATTGTTCTTCATTTGTTTTCGTTTATTATTTTTTTCCTGTGGAACAAAACTTTTTTTCTAAAAGTCTTATTTGGATATCAAATTTCATAATGTCCATAAGTGCAAAGCTTTATTTCTTGATGTGCTCTTTTGACACTTGTGCTGATTACCAGAAATGTTAATAGAAAATGTTGCAGATGAGACTTGACAGTTTTCACTGGTCATTGAACAGTAGTAAGAGAAGAGTAACCTCTGGTTATTTCATTTAGAGTAAACTTTGAATTTTCAGTGTTTCTTAGTGTTCTCTTAATGTTCTCATGTTTCACTGATGTATGCTGTGTACAGTGATCTTAATAACTTTTGTGTTCATTTTGTTACCCGTTTGTGCTTCTAAATTAACCTAAAATACATACTCCTAAATGGCAAAGTTCATTTATATTTTTATTCTTTGTCAGCTTTCTGAAAGGACAATAGCTAGCTAACATGTTTGACACTCATAAGCAGAAATTTTAAAATGTTGATAGCCTAAGATTATTGATACTACCAAATAAGTTAAAATGGCCCAAAATAATACAGAAAAAAATGTTTTAAGTTGAATAAATTAGGATGTGTCTGAATAAGCATTATAACTTGGTCAAAGAGCATGCTTTTGAAGTATGTCTCTTGATTTGTCCTTACTTACAATGCTTACATAGCTCACAGCGTGGAGTATTCCTGGAGCATGTGAGCTAGATGCCTTGCCAATAATACAGAAGTTGTGGTCAAGAGTGCAACTAATGTGCTTCAGCAGCCAAAGGGGATGGAGTCTGCAGGAAAAGAGTAGCCTCTAGCCTGAAATAGGACTTTAAAATGTATATAGTGTAGATATCAAGTTCTCAGCACTGTCTGTTCTGCTCTACAGATCCAATTCCGTTTGGCTGTAATAGTTGCTACAGTAGACATAGCTTAACTATTATAAGACATAATAAAAATGTAGCCCCATAACTCTTATTTCCATAATGCCAGAAATATAAATATTTAATGTTCTAAGCAAATAAAAAGTTGTAGTGGCATTCCAGTTAATCTTAGAGAAAACTATTGGTTTCTTACTGTTGATGCTCAAAACAAAAGAAAATCTCGTTTTCTGCTTCTGTCAGTTGTGTACTGTCTAGAGAAAGAAAAGTAGCTGAAATTGTATACTTAGAATGAAATACTTACTCTGTTTTTTCCAGAATATCTTAAAGTAAGGTCACATGATCCTGAAGAGGCCATAAGGCATGATGTTATAGTGTCCATAGTTACTGCTGCTAAAAAAGATCTTTTGCTTGTCAATGATCACCTCCTTAATTTTGTCAGAGAACGAACACTGGACAAACGGGTAAGACATAACTAGTCTTAATAATGGCTGTGTGTTATATTTCTAGACAGTTATTCAGCTTTTTAAAAAGCAATGCTTCTAAAAAATGCTGAACTAATTTTAAAACTACTAATGAAAAACAATATAATGCAAAAAAATGTGAAGCAGTCTATTTAATGAGACATCTTTTGCCCCTGACTGGAATACCATGTTTTTCATTGTGCTGTATTATTGTTTAAGATAGTATGATCAAAAAAGAGCGTAATAGGCTGAAGCACAAAAGCGTTGCTCCAGTTGTTTAATTTTAGTATAATTTTTAAGTAAAATGAGGCCCTTGTAAAACATTCTAATGTTTTTTGTAAGAGCCTTTGCAAGTGGATTTCAAAATGGATTGTAGATTACTGATGGAAAATGTTCCACCATCAGAGGTAGCTACTTCACCTGCTTTTAATTAGATCATTGAAAGACTGCAAATCAGTGTAGTAGCTTTCAAATTTGAATAGTCTTGAAACTTATTTTACCTATGTTTCATTATCTGGTAAAATTTGAGGTTCACTGCTTATGTTAAAGCATGGTAAACAAGGCTATTGATGGCAAACTTTTAAAAATAACATAACGTTAACGATTTTTTCATTTGCTGACATGCTTTTATTTGTTGCATCTGTAATGTACTTGCAAGTATTTAGTATAGATCTGTGAGAAAGGATGTTGGCTTATATTTGTAATAATTCTAAATTTGAGGGGCATACTTGTGTAGTAGTTACTGATGTTGAAAGGTTTAGCATAACAGACATGATGCAATAAATGTACTAATGAGAAAGTGTTGCACTTAAAACTCAGTTTAACTTTTTTCTAAGTTAAATTATTTTATTGTGGTGAAGAATAGGAACTATCTACCAGGAAATGCTGTAGACTTTTCAGTTTTGTGTTTTGAACAGCTAAACTGGGTACTACTTTTTTCTTTTTTCCCCTCAAGTGGAGAGTGAGGAAGGAAGCTATGATGGGACTTGCACAGATATACAAGAAGTATTCATTACAATCAGAAGCAGGAAAAGAAGCTGCAAAACAGATATCATGGATCAAAGATAAACTTCTGCATATATATTATCAAAACAGTATTGATGACCGGTAAGTCAGTCATGAAAGCTAGGCGATTCTGTGGATAAGTGTGGTAACTTATACAAAGATTTGTTTTTACTTTGTGCTTAAGTGCTGACAAGGAGGAGGCTTGATAATCCTTTATGTCTTGATCCAGTGTGTAATCTTACACAACTGCAGCCAAATATTGTCCTATGTTGTTTTCGTCTACATTTTTTTTAAAGGTGAAAAGTAATTCTAATGGGTGAGATGGTTGGAAAATTTTGAAATTTTCCAACCTGTACTTCACCACTGCTTTAGTAAAGGAGGTTTTTTTTAAATTTCAGTAGCTTGCTAATTTTTATGTTAAAATTCAGTAAGTAAAATTACTTTAATGAACTTGCTTTAGATTTGCTGTATGCTTTAAAGATAAGTATGTGTAGTGACCATAGTTAACGCATCTCACTCTGCAGAAGTTTATTTTTCTGTATGATAATAGCCATGAATTAGAGCCTTGTCCTGGATTGGTGGTGAAAGCGATGCCTCTGTCATACCCCCCTTATAGACTTGTATATGGTTATTTGTATTGAAAAATAGATGGTTGCACTTGGGGAACTAGTTTGGCAACTAGTCCACCTTGACTAATCAAGGCGGTCTTGTTGGCTTTGGAAATGAGCCTTTGGCTTTCACAGCGTGATTACATTCAAATGGCATTGCAAACCCATACAGATCTTTTCAAAAACTCGTGGCCTCAGTCATCTCCAAAATAAGCAATTATTTCATGGTACCATGGAAGTGGACAGAACTGTCTGGATTTTCACATCTAATCTCACCCACTCACATTTTTATTAAACTTTGGGATCTTTTTAAGCTGGCTGGGTTTGGGTTTTCACCACCCTTTCCAATTGTGTGTAAGATTTTATTCTCATTTTTAGCCTAAACTTACATGATTGGGGTTTTTTTTAACCTATGTACTCTATTCTGTTAATATTGACCTCAATTTGCAAAAGTCGTGGGCCTTCTTGGTATTTAAGACTGCAGTGTAGGTTTAGTTTTCCTTTTGTTTTTTCTTCTCAATCTTTCCTAGGTAACTGGCAGGCCCAAACCTTTCTCTTCTCCTGTTTCCAAAAAAGGAACCTCCATGTTATAGCAGGAGCTTTAAATAATTTCTGTGTGAATGTACTTGCATTTTTATTGTGGAAGCGAAAGAAATGAGATAAACTTGGCCCTTGAGGAAGGGGCTGAGGAGAGGTTGAGGAAAGTCAGCTCCTTCTGACTAGTCTCTGAATTCTCCTTCCAGGCTTCATGATAATATGTGATATAATCAACATGATATTTCTTTTTTTATTTTAGGCCCATTAATTTGGGTCAATTCATGAATTTACCCCAGTACTGACCTGTAATGAAATTCACTGATAGTATCTCTTTGGACTGATAATTAAGAGGCATCCTTCTCTAAACCCCTTCGGTTCCTATCTAGATTAATACATCTGATTTTGATAATGTAATCTCTTATATATCCTAACTGCTGACATTAACATTACAGCTTCTGTAATTATAGATTTTTGTTTAGTTTATGCCAAGTTATATTGGAAGTTAAAGAACTTGACTTTTGGAGTTTTGAATATGTCTTTACATACAACATCTGATCTCTAAATAGGTCTGAGAATTTTTGATTGAATGTTTTAGCAACTCAAGACCACTTTCTTGCTTTAGTTTGAGTTTCTTAATTCTGTCTTTCAGATTACTTGTTGAACGCATCTTTGCTCAGTATATGGTCCCTCACAACTTGGAAACGAATGAACGAATGAAATGTTTGTATTACCTTTATGCAACACTGGATTCAAATGCTGTGAAGTATGTGCTATTTTTGACTTCTTGTAAAATCATCTTTAATACAATTATTACTGTAAATTAGTTCAAAATTGTTATGAGTAGCCTAAGCCAGTGGACAAAAATAGTTTGTCAACTATCAGAAAATAGTATGTATAGAATATAGCAATAGGATCTATTTTTCAAGTGGGATTTTTTTAAAAAGCAAATCCAAAAAACCCACACCAAACAAGCAAACAAAAAAAAAAAAAAAAACCAAAACCCAAAACAAAACAAAAACCCACTAAAACTAATAGGGTGTTCTCTAACAAGGTGTGGTGCCTTTTAACTGTAAACAGCTAAAAAAAAAGTACTGTCAAAGATCTGGCAAGAAGCTTGAGTGCATGTCAGTCCTTTTATGTCTGAAAAAAGATGGCACAGATAGTAGCGTTGACTAGCCCTAGATCTTATCTGACAAGTTCTGAATTAATATACTCCTCATTTTAACAGCCAGGATGACTTAAGAGTGGGAAGGAATTACTTGTTTGGATTTTTTCCTTCAATATGCATTTTACTTGTAATTATGTTACATGCCTTCTCCAACTTAAAATGGGTAGAAGTGCATGAATTTGACTGCTGTGATGTTCACAGTTTGACTAAATTCAGTTAGTTTTACTTTGTTTTTTCATTTGCTAGTACTCAGTCATTTGAAAATTGAATGTAGCTTTTTTTCTCATGTGGGAGACTAGAAAGAACTTTTATGTACAAAAAATGGCTTAAAATAACCCTGAAGACTTCGAATATTACAGAAACTGATGTTTGAATCCCCTGCATTTCTTGTATTACCTGCCTAAAGATATAACAACTGTGACAAACTAAAGTTAAGAATAATATATTAAAAATAAAAAGTTACTGTTCTAATAATTTTTAGTATAGGCTAAACAAAAATGCAGAATGACTTCTTTTCAGTACTCGTTATTTCAGGCACAAATAACTCCTAAATTCTAGTTTTCATATGCAGCAGTACTCATTTGAAAACAGTATCTTCAGGTAGTTGTATAGAACTGACTTTTTACTTGTGGATTCTGGAAGTTTTTTAAATGAAGCTGAGACTTTTTATATGGCTTATGTTTTATGGAAAGTGTGCTAATTTTCAGTTTTGTTGAATCCCTCTAATGTGTCTCTTACAAGTCTAATCATGTCCACTTTTCACAATTTATTCTTCTAGTAGCTCCTTTCTGTGTGCAAGAAAAACATTGTTTTGATGATAAAAATCTTAAACACCTGCTTTAGCCTGCTTCTTGGAATGTTTTTAGAAGAGTGATTTCAAGCTTGTACAAATGAGTTCTTTATGGGATAGACATCAATTACTTCCTACTTCTTTTAAGGGCAGTGTAGTTAAGGATCTGAAATAAAACTTGATTCAAAATCTCACTTTGTTCCAGTCTAATATGACCAATTAAATTTTCTATGTCATGCTATTAGGAACCATTTAGCCTTTGCTCACACAGCAATGAAATTTTGGTGATAAGCACATTCCTGAATCTGAAGTTGAGAAGAGTTTAAAGGCTCTTATTTGACAGTTGTGTTATTTATCAATTAGATGACTTTGACAATTTTTTTTTTTAGAGCATTGAATGAAATGTGGAAATGTCAAAATTTGCTACGACATCAAGTAAAGGATTTAGTCGACCTAATTAAACAACCCAAAGTGAGTTCAATTTATCTTTATCCCACAGTGAATATGCAGTTTTACCTAAAAGAATAAACTATTTTTTATTCCATTTGTTTGACTATCTCAGGCTTATTTGTAGTGATAGATATAAAATATTGTGAAAGGTAACTGATATTTCAGTAGACTACACTTGCAGTAGGTAATGCATATACGTTTTGTCAGTAAAAGTGAAGAGGTAGGGATGTTTCAGGAATTTAAAAAAGATTTTGTCAATAATTTGATATTAAAACATTTGCTTCCAGTGTTTGAGTTACAACTTGCCAGGATTGTTCTGGCTCTTGAAAGAGGGGGAAAACCAGCATATGATTTTTGACTGCCAAATCAAGTCATTAAGAAAAAGTACCTATACACCCTAACTTCTTATCTTATATATGATTAGTAACAGTCAAGAAATTGGAGTGGTTTTATCCCTATCTCTTGGAAGCTTCTTAAATGTTGTATTGCAGATACCAGACTACAATGGGTTTCTTTTCTTTTTTTTTTTTAACAAATTTGCTCAGAATGAAAAAATAAACATTATTGAGCATTTAGGATATTCTCATAAAGTTAAGTTTATAGATTTGTTTTAGTTATATGTATGTGCATACTCGTATTTGAGTGTGTGTGGAATCATACGATGAAGTTCTGGATTTAGTTTGGAATGTGATTAGAACTTGACTTTAAGGCCAAAAGCTCTATCTGGCGCTTTTTTTAACAGAAATACTATATAGTAGAAAGTGTTGCCATGCTCACATTCATATTACCTGTGTGTGTCATTTTTATTTTCTATATGCACATACACTCATATACCACAGTAAATTTAATCAAATTTTATGACTGAATTTTCCATTCACTGGAATTACCTGAAGAGAAATAGTGTGTAACCGCATTTTTACAAGTGTGGTTGGATTATCTAATGCATCTGCTTGGAAATGCTGCTGTCTTGCAGACAGAAAGAGACTTAGCAAAATAAAATTCATCACTTAGTGTTTCGGTCCTGATTGCAGTGAAATTTGTAATTTTGACTTAGTGCATTTAGAACACGCTGTAATGTGTTAAATACTAAGTGCAGTAATTGTTAGTACAACATTTCATTGCATTTTGGTGACTGTATTGAAATATTTTTCATGTATTGTTTTATATTATTTGGTGTAATTTAAATACATTTATGCATTTAAAACCTGAGTTAATTTCTTGATATTTTCTGCATTTCAGTTGAATGTGAAATTTCAACTTTTGTCTTGAGGGAGATGTAATGAAAGTTCTTTCTCAATTGTAAAATATCAAATATGATATGGAATTAAACATGTAGGTTTTGATAAACGCCAGCATAAGCATCACATTCAAAACAGTGTATGCTGTTGACATGTTTGCATTTGTCCATGTGGCTTTCATAATTTCTTGAGCTATTAAGTACTAATTCTCTACACGTTTCTTTTGGGTAACGGGACTGCATGGGAGAATTTAGGGGCTTGTGATCTGAGGTGCTGTTGCAGGCATCAAAATGGTTTTCAGTTAGGGAATTTGTACTTAATTTAGTTTATTGTCAATTAACATAAACTTTTAATTATTGATTCTGGTATTGAGAAATAAAAACGAACAAATAAACACTTAGAGAAACACCCTTTGGCTCCCCTTCGGACACCTGTCTTCTCCATGGTCCTTAGGCCCCTAGCTGCCTGCTGTGCTCAGTTCCTTTGAGGTGGTGGCAGCACAGGAGGTGGAGGTCAGGGCGTGGTGATTCCTTTCCTTTTGCTGCTCCTTGTTTCTTAACCACTGCTGCAGCGTGGGTTCCTCCACCGGCTGCAGTCTCTTTAGGGTTGTACTTTGTCCAGTGCCTCCTCTCCATGCCTGCTCCAGCGGCTCTTCCCCTGGCATCTCTCCTGCCTCTGCTCAGGTGTCTCTTCTTTTCCTTCAGCATCTCTCTCTTCTCCTGCTCTGCTGTCCATCCTGCCCTGGCATCCCTCTTGTTGGCCCTAGTGGCTACCACCCTTTCTTAAATAGGTTTTCTCAGGGGCACCATAGGCTTCTCTGACTGAAGTTTCCATGGATCAGTTTGTTGGTTGTGGAGCTGGCTGGAAGTGGCTTTGACTGGCACAAGAGTCCCTGACCACCTCCTGCACAGGTCACCTCAGCAGCCCTTTGCTACCCCAAACCCCGTTATACCCAATGCAGATGCTTAGCTATTTTTACCAAAGTTTTTTCTCTGTGATGCTCCTTGTATGTTGGTTTTTTTATTTGTTTTATTTTTTCTCCAAACTGATAATTAATTCATATAACAAATTCATTGTGTTTGAGATGAGTGCATTTTCATAATTGGAGTAGAACTGAAGGGACATACAGTCCAAGTCAGTAATGATCTTGAGACAAATACCCATTAGTCATTCAGAGCTGTAGAAACTCCGTGTTCTTTCAGGAAACAAAATTGAAATGAACTAGTAACCTGCTAGAGTATAACTGTGTGTTACCATAGGTGCTTCTTCACTTTGGTCAAATTTCTCCACTTAATCATGATAGCTTAGTTGTTGATTTTTCTCCTGTAGGTGTTGTCACTGTGGCAAGTGTAGGCGTTGTGAGAGCTCTGAGATGAACAGGGGATAGGACAAGAAGCAGTGTACAGAAGTTGCCACAATGAAACTTTGATTAGGTAGTAAGGAAAAAAATTGCAGTAAGGGTGATCAGATATGGGAACAGGTAGCCCAGAGGGGTTATGAAATCTTCATCCTTGCAAATAATTAAAATGCAACTAGATGAAGCCTGGAGCAAAACCTGATCTCAGTTGACCCTGCTTTGAGTAGGTGGTTTAACCAGGTGATCTACCGTTGTTGCTTCCAACCTACATTATTCTGTGACTATAAATCTTTGAACTTTCCAGTCCACTGTTTTCTTCATCTGGGAGAATCTTTTTGTGGTTTAGTGAAACTCTTCAGGCTTTCTCCTTTTTTCCTCTTCAGGCTTTCCCCAGTGTAAGCATTATTGAGGACACTGAAAATGTGTTAAGAAACCTTCTATTTCTGTTGATCATAACTTCTCCTAATCTGAGACAGAATGGATATCAAACTTGCCTTTAAGATGAGTTACTTTTGTGAAGAGCAAAAGCATAAATCACAGCTCTTCTTGTTTTCTCCTGCAGCAATGGTATACAGCTAAATGAAATACATAACCTTGCCTATTCACATGTGGAAAAGTGGATGAAAGCTGGTTTGTCTGTATTGGCATATATGAGCTTCATTTGCTGCAGATATGCAGCTGTTCTGGTGCTTCCATATCATGAATGCAAGATAATATAGATCTAGTGCCACAGTAGATCATCTAAAAAGAAATGTTTCTTGATCTTCTTCAATCTGACATTATTCTCTGGAGTTATACTACTACTAGAAGTTAAAGAATACTTCTGACTCAGGTTTGTTTGGCTGAATGATTAGTAGTTTGCTCAACTTAATGTCTGTATTAATGGGAGCCTTAGCCAGTACTTGAAGACTTAGCCAGTATTAGAAGACCAAACCTGTCAGAACAAAGAAAAAATCCACAGTACAATTTTGGTATTTTTCTTCTGAGTCGCAAGAAGTGTGAATCTGTTGACATTACTTGAATCCTATCAACCAGATTTGATTTCTATTTTTTTTTTCATTTCTTGTCCAAACGTGCCTGTTCAGTTGTGACAGCCAAAAGCCCCGAAAATGACAGCATTCTTCCAGCACTAAAAAGTGACAGAAAGTTCTGCAGAAATACTTAATGGCTGAAATTACATGCCAGGTGTCCATGTCACAAGATAGGACATTCACTAAAAACATTGCTTGTCTTAATCTCATGCTACATTTTTGTTATACTCTGATGTTTCAGAGGTTGCTCAAACATTGCCAAATTTTCTACACACTGGCTAATAAATTTCCCTTTTTTATGACTAAAAAACCTATGCAAATATGTTAGAACTCCAAATAATCCTATTTTCTTTCATAGTACCTAGTCAATTGCAGAACAGAAATTTACTCTGAAAAGTTGAAGGATACTCCTCCTGGAAATAGACACTTCCATGTGTTAGCCAAGGTTATTGTAACAAATTGTAATTTTGTTATCTCCAAAGCTGATACGACTTGTTTGAACTTTATTTGAGATCTCTATGCAGATTTCATTAATAAAATGCAAAGAAATTAGATGCACCTGAACAAGACTTTGACCTCTGTCTTGAAGTTTTTCCTATCTGCTCCATAATAATTCTAAGACCTTTATAAGAAAAATGTCAGTGGCTCACAACACTATCTCTTAGCAACTCTTTCATGATATGAACCTGATGAAAAGGCCCCACTGTAGGTGTTCATTTGCCTCATGTACTTTAGAAGAAAAAGAACTCTTCTTACCAAGATGAGCCTTCTGAGTTGATCTGATGTTTTCTTGTTTGTAAATTTTAGGCTACCAATTTTGTCTGTTATAAAGGGAGTTCTAGAAAAGACAATTTTAGCAATGGTGGTTGCTAAACACTGTTCTTTTAAAATTTAAATACTTTACAGGAAAAGCTCATGAAGTGTGGTTGTGTCTTATTTAAATCTTTTCTCAGAAGAATATAATTTGATAGTTGGAGACCATAATTGATACTATTTACATGCATTCTATGATTCTATGATTTATGGAGTTTTGTAGACTTCGTAAGTTGTGTCACCAAGGTGGATC